CTGTCCCCAGTGTCCCCTCAGTGTCCCCAGTGTCCCTTCAGTGCCACCTGAATTGTCACTCTCCTGTCCCCAGTGTCCCCACTGTCCCCTCAGTGCCACACTCACTGTCCCCAGTGTCCCCTCACTGTCCCCAATGTCCCCTCACTGTCCCCAGTGTCCCCTCAGTGTCCCCAATGTCCCCTCACTGTCCCCAGTGTCCCCTCAGTGTCCCCAATGTCCCCTCACTGTCCCCAGTGTCCCCTCAGTGTCCCCAATGTCCCCTCACTGTCCCCAGTGTCCCCGACTGTCACATTGTCACCGTCGAGGTCACCGCGGTGCCCGAGGGCGGCCGCGCCCTCACGGTCAGCAGCACCCGCCGCAACCCCGCCGAGCCCGGCCACGTCACCGGCAGCGCCACCCGCCACAGCTTCTGGAGCAGCGTGCAGGGTGCGTCGCTGTCACCCCCGGTGTCACCCGCGGTGTCACCCCCGGTGCCACCCCCGGTGTCACCCCCGGTGTCACCCGCGGTGTCACCTCAGGGCCGCTCATTCTCTCCCTCCCCGCAGCCTGCACCGGGCACGGCGGCTGCGTCAAGCTCTGCTGAGGAGGAGCGGCGGAAATGCCTGCTTGGGGACGTCTTGGCGACAATTTGGGGACATTTTGGGGACAATAAATCCCAGGCCTGGCGGTGGTGGCGCCCTTCTTGTAATGGCGGCGGGGAGGAGGCGCGAGGTGATTGGTGGGGAAGCCGCGCGGGGCACGATGGGAGGAAGGGGTCTTAGCGCTGATTGGTGAACGCTGGGGCGCAAAGCATCACGGGAGGAAGGTCAAAGCGCTGATTGGGCAGCTGCTCTGGGGAGGAGGTCGGCGCGCTGTGATTGGTCGGCGCCGCGCGGGGCATGACGGGAGTTGTAGTCGCGGCCCTGAGGGGGCAGAGGCCGCCATGGCCCCGGAGGACGCGCGGGGTGAGGAGGGGGAGCCGGGGCCGCATTTTGGGGCGTCCTGAGGGGTCCTGGGGGGGCTTGGGGAGAGCAGGAAGGGCTCGGGGGGGTTTCTGGGGGGCCGGGAGGGGATTTTTTTTGGAGGGGCCCGTGGGGGTCTCGGGGTGATTTGGGGAGGGGTCTCACCCTGTGGGGGTGGGGGCGGGGCAGCCGGAAGTGCCGGGATTTGGGGTTTTTTTGTGGATTTGAGTTGGATTTATGGAGATTTTTGGGGTTTTTTTGGGTCCCAGAACTCCGGGATTTTTTTGGGGGGGCCCGTGGGGGTCTCGGGGTGATTTGGGGAGGGGTCTCACCTTGTGGGGTGGGGGCGGGGCAGCCGGAAGCACCAAAAATGCCGGGATTGGGTTGGATTTTGGGGGAATTTGGGGTTTTTTTGGGTTTTTTTTATGTCCCAGAACTCCAGGATTTTTTTGGAGGGGCCCGTGGGGGTCTCGGGGTGATTTGGGGAGGGGTCTCCCCAGTTTTGCCTCCCCGTGAGCTCATTGCCCCCTCCCCTCCCCCGCAGCCCCCCAGGGCTCCCCCTCCCCCCACCCGGATTTGGGGGGGGTCCTGGGGGATCTCCCCGACCTGGGCCGGGGGCTGCCGGGATTTGGGTCTGGGGTCCCGGGGGTGCCGTACCACGAGCGGCAGCGCCGGCAGCTCTGCGCCCTGCACGCCCTCAACAACCTCCTGCAGCGGCCCTGGCTCAGCCAGGCCTCGGCCGACCGCATCTGCCAGCGGTGAGACCCCAGACCCAATTCCGGGAGGGGTCCCGGGGGGGGCTCTGAATTTGGGGAGGGGTCCTGGGGGGGTTTGGGGGGTTTTGGAGGGGGTTTGGGACTGGTTTGAGGGTGGTGGGAAGGGTTCCTGAATTTGGTGAGGGGTCTCAGGGGGATTTCTGAATTTGGGGAGGGGTCTTAAGGGGTAGGGAAGGATCTTGGTGGGGTTTCCTTAATTTGGGGAGGGGTCTCAGGGAGTTTTGGGCATTTGGGGAGGGGGTTTAGGGCTGTGGGGAAGGGTCCTCAACAACCTCCTGCAGCGGCCCTGGCTCAGCCAGGCCTCGGCCGACCGCATCTGCCAGCGGTGAGACCCCAGACCCAATTCCGAGAGGGGTCCCGGGGGGGGCTCTGAATTTGGGGAGGGGTCCTGGGGGGGTTTGGGGGCTTTGGGAAGGGGTTTGGGACTGGTTTTAGGATGGGGGGAATGGTTCCTGAATTTGGGGAGGGGTCTCAGGGGGATTTCTGAATTTGGGGAGGGGTCTTAAGGGGTAGGGAAGGATCTTGGTGGGGTTTCCTTAATTTGGGGAGGGGTCTCAGGGAGTTTTGGGCATTTGGGGAGGGGGTTTAGGGCTGTGGGGAAGGGTCCTCAACAACCTCCTGCAGCGGCCCTGGCTCAGCCAGGCCTCGGCCGACCGCATCTGCCAGCGGTGAGACCCCAGACCCAATTCCGAGAGGGGTCCCGGGGGGGGCTCTGAATTTGGGGAGGGGTCCTGGGGGGGCTCTGGCCGGGATTTTGAGGGGATTTGGGGGGGTCCTGAGGGGGATTTGGGGGAGATTTGAGAAGTTTTGGGGTGTCCTGAGGTAATTTTGGGGGGGTCAGGAATTTGGGGAAGGGTCCTGGGGAGGGTTTGAGGGAATTTAGGGGGGTTCTGGGGGGATTTGAGGGAATCTTGGGGAGAATTTGGGGGTCCCGAAGAGATTTTGGGGAGGGCAGGGTGGTCTTGGGGTTTTAGGGGGGATTTGGGGGTCTCAGGAATGTGGGGGGTGATTTGGGGGTCCTGGGAGGGGTCTCGGGGGGAATTTGGGGAGGGGTCTCGAGGGGAATTTGGGGGGAATTTGAGGAGGGGTCTGAGGATAATCGGAGGGATTTTTGGGGAGGGGTCTCAGGGTGATTTGGGGAAATTTTGGGGGAATTTGAGGAGGGGTCTCGGGGTGATTTGGGGGAATTTGGGGAGGGGTCTCCCTGGATTTGTCTCTGGGGTCTCGGGGTAATTTAGGGGGGTTCCCGAATTTGGGGAGGGGTCTCGAGGGTGTGGGGAGGGATCTTGGTGGGGTTTCCTTAATTTGGGGAGGGGTCTCTGGGGGCTTTAGGGTTGTAGGAGGGAGTTTAGGGCAGTGTGGAGGGGTATCTGGGGGGTTCCCGAATTTGGGGAGGGGTCTCAGGGGTGTTTCTGAATTTGGGGAGGGGTCTCGGCTGGGTTCTCCCAAATTTGGGGAGGGGTCTTCCCTTCCCTCAGAATGACATCATCGCTTTGTGGGTTCCCCAATTGGGTCTGGGGTCTCTCTGGGGGGGATTCCCCTCCCCAAATTGGGTCTGGGGTCTCAGGGAGGGTGTGGGTTAACTTGGGGAGGGGTCTCAGGGGGTGTCCGGGTTAATTTGGGGAGGGGTCCCAGGCGGGAATTCCCAAATTTGGGGAGGGGTCTGCCCCCATTCTCCCTGGCCTTTAAACCAACATCACCACTTGCAGGGACTGAATTGGGTCTGGGGTCTCTTTGAGGGTTGGATTCCCCTCCCCAAATTGGGTCTGGGGTCCCGGGGGGGGTGTCTGGGTTAATTTGGGGAGGGGTCTCACGCTGCAGCCCCCCCAGGTTGGCCCCGAACTCGCGGCCCAACCCCCACCGGAGCCCCCTGGGCACGGGCAACTACGACGTCAACGTGGTGATGGCGGCGCTGGGCACGCTGGGGCTGGCGGCCGTCTGG